TTTTATTGCAATTAACTTATTTCTAAACGTAAAAAAAATTCCTACAATATTTGCTTTCGAAATTCAATCAAAATGTTTTGTCCTAATAAAGCTCTTTATTTGTTTCTGAAGTTTGTTTACAAAAGCAAAAATAAAAAATAATTTTAACCGTAAAAAAGTCGGCCTTCGCTAATTTTACGGAAAATGAGCTGTCGCGGCCTGTTTAATAAGGCCTTGGTATAAGTCAATAACATATTTCAATAACGGTTGACTTGTATTTTACGTACGTAAACAAATTACGTAAAAAACGCAACTCGCCAATTGTGTATTAAAAAAAGCAATTAAAATGTTCTTTTGTTTTAAAAGTATTTTCGAACGTAAGAGTTTGCTTAAATTACGAAATAAATAAAACTTTATAAACGTTAAATTAAAAACATGAAACCTATAATTTAAGAGTTTATCAGAACAATATTATTTATTATTTTCTTCACTTCATTTTTATCGCGCTTTTCTAATAAAAAAATGCCATTACCACGAGCATTTCTCTCCATTGAGACAAGAATTACAATAAAAGAAAATAAAGTGTTACAAGTAGTAGTTGTAACTACTACTTGTAACACTTGTAACAAAATTTGTAGTTTACTACAAATTTTGAGTTTGCTAGGAGAAATTCAGTCACAAAAATGTAATTTTTAATGATTTTTTTAAACTTTTCAAATCACCTTATCAGGTTTGAATACAATAAAAAGAAAAGATAAAAGTCAAACCGACAAAGACTTGAAGAGTTCACTTGATATGAACTGGTTATGTGCTTTATTTTCCGCCAGCTCGTTGCCTTGTAGAGGCTAAATAACCAAGGTCCGCAGAGATTATATTTATATAGACAGAGATTATATTTATATAGGCCCATAAGTACACCTTTCGGAGCTACAATTGTTGAGGATTTTTTTTGGAGAATTATCACACATTTATGTTCTCTTGAACAAAGTTTTACATTTATTTTATTTTATTCCTGGTCGTAATTCTATTGTACCGTATCCTACCGTGCGGCATTAAAGATTCGGTATTATTTAAAGACAGAAGTGATAAATGGGTGTGATATGACACATTTGACATTTTATAGAATGTTGATGGCACTTTAATTACAAAAACTAAACGATATTTAAATTATCAAATAAAATTTTAACTATAGCACTAAATCTTGTTAAAAATATATACATTTAATATACTTGGTCCAATTGCTCCCTACCCCCTCGTTTTTTTTCGCGATTTTATTTTTTTAACTTCTTAACTGTCTTGGCACGATACAAACCTTTTTTTTTTCTGACTAAAATGCTAAGCCTCTTATAGAGATATGTTATCTGTCACTGTAAAAAAAAAGTTCTGGAATTTCATAATATTCATTTATTTCCATAGAAAAATCAAGTATATGAAAAAAGTGGTCTTAATGCCCTCCTTTGCCTTATAATATTTGCCCTCCTTTGCTGATATTTTGCCGCAACTTCAATTCTTTTGTCATAAATTCTGATAAAATAATAATATCTAACTATTGAAAAGCCGTTTTTGTAAGCACTCTTTAACATATATTTGACCTAAAAGTATAGAAATATAGAGTGCTAAAAGTAAATCACAAAACTATACAAATAGAAAATGTTTTATCTTGTCACGTTTTATGCATTTAAATTTCTTATCTGTTTTTCCTCTACATTTGGCATGAAAACGGACCAGGCACCAGGTATTTGCTGATGGTCGTACTTGATATATATATATATATATATATATATATATATATATATATATATATATATATATATATATATATATATATATATATATATACATACAAGACCGGCGCGATAGGGGGGTGTAAGGGGCATTGACACCCCCCCATCAATGATTTTTAGTGGGTAAACTGGACCCTTAGTCGGCAGATTGGACCCTTAGTCGGCAAATTGGACCATTTTAGACTAGTCAGTCGGCAAATGTCGACCCTTTCGATATAGGTTAGAGGTTAGACAGTAGGTAAATGTCGTCATTATAGTCGGCAAATTTTGGAAAACGAGGACTTTTTTTTTTTTTAGTCGGCAAAAGTTGTAATAGCAATTCCCCACGTGACACCTACTCGCGCCGGCCCTGTATATATATATATATATATATATATATATATATATATATATATATATATATATATATATATATATATATATATATATATATATATCTACTATAGCATATTTATATGCGCAATTGCTCACTTTTTTTGCTAGCCTAAATTAAGTGAGCGTTTTTAGAAAACAAATAGGGAAAACGAAGAATAATGAATGAAAAGGTTGCTGACCCATACCAAACCCTCAGTTGATGTAGCAGCACTCCACTGCGAGTCAGGCTATTTGTCAGTCGATGTATGTACTGAAGCCCTCGGCAGCAGGCTATTTGACGTTAGGTGAGTATGACATCATCATGCTCACCTAACTCAGCAGTATAAGATATATGTGTAAGTGTGCGAATGTGCATATAAATTTATATATATTCATTTTTACTTTTATTTTGTCTATTTATGATATTATGTAGTAAACGATATCTTATTTTATTTTTTGAAACGATATCTCATTTTATTTTTTGAAACGATATCTTATTTTATTTTTTGAATTCTTGTAAACATTTATTCAATTTTTTTTATATACTATATATTCTTCAATAACTTTGTTAAAAAAGGCAAATTAATGCCTTCTTCTTGCTCTCGCCATTAACTTAATTGTAAATTTTTGTAAACTGTAATACTTATTAAACGGCAAAATATAATGTTAAAAAAAAATAAAAATAAAAAAATTTTAACTAGATTTGCTAAGAAAAAAAATAAGATTATGTGTCTGTGTGTGTGTGTGTGTGTGTGTGTATACGTGGAATAAACAACCTTTTTAATGTATTGTTTGAAACAGGTTAGAGTCATTTAGACAATACACATAAACGAGTCAGTTCATTTTTAGGTGGTATATATGCAACTTAATATATTGCTTTGGAAAAATTCCGAGTATTTGTTTAAATTCAGTCTCAGATTATTTAACTTTGTTTTCAAGAAATTTTGATAATCTGGATTGCAAATTCATTTATTTTTAGTTACTAGTTTGTTGTATAAATAAGGTCCCCAATATGAAATTGAGAGCTGGGAAAGTTTTGTTTTTTTTGAAAGGTATAATAAAGTTTTCTGTTTCTCTTGTGTTATATTTATTAACGTTATTTATAAAAAAGTTATTTAAAAAATGATTCAGCACTCTACCTAATTTAAATTTTAGCATAAACAATATATTTTGGTAAATGTTAATTTGATAATATATAAGTTTTAAATTATTTTGCGACAATATAGGTCTTGCCTTATAAAGTAGACCTATGTTTTTTGATATTTTAGTGTTTAAAGCATTTATGTGAGCTTTCCAAGATAAATTTTTATCAATTATATCTCCTAAAAACTTAGTTTCAAGTGTTCTCTCAATTATTATATTTTCTATTTTTAGAAAGAGTAGAATATTTGGTAGTGTGTTTCTTTGCTGGTTTGAATAAAATAAAGTGTATTTTGTTTTTTTTATGTTTAGGGATAAATTATTTTTTTAAACCATATATTTAATACAGATCTTTGATGTTTGTCGAATAGTAAAATAAACTTATATTGTCTGCAAATTCAAGTTTGCTAGAAACTTTTGGAAGGTTGTTTATAGAGATTAGGAAGAAAAAAGGAGCAAGAATCGAACCTTAGGGGACACCGCAAGTTAATTTTAATAATTTAGTGTGGTAATTATCATTTGTAATAACACGCTGTTGTCTGTTATACAGGTAACTTTTGAACCACCGCAGTTTTTGGTTTTTTAATTCAAACTTTTCCAATTTTTTAGTAGGATTTCATGATTTATTGTCGAACGCTTTTGACAATTCTAAAAAGACTTCTAATACGAATTTCTTTTCACAGATTGATTCACTAATTCTTTTGGTGAAGTTTGCAATAGCATGCTCTGTCAAGTGCTGAGTTTATTGGTTTAAACTCAGCACTTGAGTTTAAACCGATAAACGCAGTACTTATTGGTTTTGTAATAAACTCAGCACATATTGGTTTTCATTTAGAACTTTGCTTGTGATTAGGTATTTTTATAAACGATTGTATTGTTGATTCGAAGAGTTTTGAAAATACGGGAATGATTGATATAGGTCTGCAATTATTTAAGGAGGAAGTTTCTCCGGATTTATAGATTGGAATAATTTTAGCTATTTTTTAATTGTTGGGTACAATTCCTGTAATTATTGAAGAGTTGAATATTTGAAAAATGGGTTTACTTATTTTATTATTTAACAATTAATGATTCAATACTGCTTATTATTTGAAATAACTTTCATTTGCTTTTATTACACCAGTACACAGTGGGTCAGAATTCACTCAAAACTAATGACTCGTCATATAATAAAAATTTAAGGACCGTTTTTGCACAATATTTTTAAAATATTAGAGACCCGACTAATGATTAAGGGTCTTGAGCGACCCCTAAAAATTTTTTAAATTTAGTATTACTTTATTAAATAGAACATAATAAGGGGTACCATCAGACATTTTCAAAAAATATTGCTTTATGACACACCCTAATATATGTATATATAAATATATGTATGTATGTGTATGTATATATATATATATATATATATATATATATATATATATATACCTACATATATTTACATATATACACACATACATACATATATGTATATACATACATACATACATATATATATATATATATATATATATATATATATATATATATATATATATATATATATATACACATACACTTAATAGAATAGTTATAGTAATATAAAGTTAAGTAATATATTTTAATAATATCATTTAAAACAAAATATCATTTAAAATAATTCATTGAAATCTTGATTCTGAAAGTATTTTAACCAATAAAGTTCAAAATATTTAAACTTTCAAAAAAAAAAAAAAAAAAAAAAAAAAAAAAAAAAAAAAAAAAAAAAAAAAATTAGATTTAAATATTTGTTATCAAAAAATGTTTTAAAATTGACTCAAAATATTCAATCATTTACCAAAGATTACCAAAAAAAAAGAGAAAGTTTATTACAGCACACACCCACCTTTTTTGGGGCCTGGGTGCACATAAAAAGCAATTTTTTCACACCCCTTGATAGATGTGAACTTATAATTATTTTTTTTAGAAATATTTGTAAGGTATCTTTATAGGGAACAAAAAAATTTCAGAGTGGGCGGACACAAAACCGGGCGGACAATTTAGCACACTGTGTGTTGTGAATAAACATCGTAGTTCACAGCATACAATCCAATGCAATCTTTATTTATTTTATGCCAGATTTATTAAACTTCGTCCATAAACCTTTTGACTAAATGTTTTTCTCCCCTAGCTTCCGAAACGGGGCGCTATAAAGACAGACAAAATATCGACTACGCCACTATTACATTACACCAAAAGTTAATTACTGTAAAATATTATTTAAAAGCTGAAAAACAACAAAGGTTATTTTCTACACTTATTTGTCATTTTTGTTTAATAATTATCTTAGCATTAATATTTAATTAGTAATTGAATGAACTTGTTTTAAAACAGTAATTATAACTTTTAATGGTGTATTTTTATTAAAATAACGGCATTCTTATTCATGTCCAAACTTTTTCAAAATTTAAGGACTTGTGGCGCTGCGCTTTTCAATAATGCGGCAGTAATATTTTTTCAATCACGCTCAGATCAGTTGTTCATCGTGATCGTGTTAAATGTTTGTCACTGGATCGCCTTCTCCGTGGTGACTCTAAATCCTTATTTTTCGTCTTCTCTAAATCCTTATTTTTCTTATATTTATCAATATAATCTCTGTCTTCTCCTTTTCTTCTTTGATATGAAAGTTCAGTTGCTACTTCGCGATCTCGTGACGAGTCATTTTTACTTTTTTTATTTTCATGATAATCATCTTCGTGGTGTCTTCTTTTTGACGAGTTTCTACTTCTATCTTCTTTTTTGTTAACTTCTTCAACTTTTTGATCATATTCTTTCGTTCTTTTATTTTCAATTTCACTATTATGACGAGATGAATCTTTATTATGTTTATCACGATGTGTCATATTATAACGGTTTTTAGAATTTCTTTCCTCGTCACGTAAAAAATCACTATTATCACGACGTTTAATCTCTCTATCATTATCACTGCGTACTGTATGTTTGTCATCTCGTACTGTATGTTTGTCATTACGACGCAGCAAATCTCTATCATCACGACGTTTTTTTGGTGAGCTTTTTTTCCTACAAAAAAAAAAAAGTTACAAAAATGTATAAAACGTCAATTGAACAGGTGTTTTCAATTTTGGTTAAAATCTATTTATAATTTTAACTTTAGCAGTTGAATTTAGTAATCGATTTAACATTGTAAAGGGGTCGTCCATATTTTACGTCACGCTATTTTCGACCATTTTAGTACCACTTTAGTAACAAGTCTCGTATGACTCGTCACGAAACCAACAGAGAGCGTGACGTAATTTATGGACGACCCCAAAATAAGCATGTCAATCTAGTTAAGGATTAGTATTTTAAAATCAAAAACAAACTTATAACTAATTAAATTAAAACAGCAGTTTATATAAAAAACTTTTTGATTTTTTTTTGATGTCATTATTTTATTGCTTTAGAGATTTTAAAAAAGTGCAGTTGAATTTTGAAAAAGTTGAAAATTGTTTTGTTTTAGGAAAAATATGACGAGTTATCATGTAAAAAAAAAAAAAAATGAAAAGAATGAAAATCATTTCATACTTCGGGTGAACTTTGAAGTTTTGTTTTTATTATTTTACTCTTTTTTGATCTCATGGAGTGTAAAATAATTTTATATTTAAAAATTGCGTTATAATCATTAGGCATTACTCTATCATTTCCACACACCCATATTTAAATTCCATACACCCATATTTAATTTCCATACACCCATATTTAATTTCTCTAATAAAATTGTTTGAAAATTATACTACATAAATTACGACATGTTGCAGGGCAAATTGAGAAACTTTGTTCTTATTTATTTTGCCGGTTTCTAACTTGTTTATTTATTGTAATTAGTAATATTTACTGTTCATTTGTTATTCAAAATGTTTAATATAATGTTTACTTATATTTATTACATTAATCTAATATTTTAAAATTTTGTTCAAGAGGTTTATTTGTTGCTAATACTTTTGTTTTGTTCTAGTTATGCGAATATATATATATATATATATATATATATATATATATATATATATATATATATATATATATATATATATATAAAGTAAATTGGCAAACTTATAGGTATTGAAATAAGTAATTTGTTGAGTTTATTCCTGTGAAATGAAGTTTTTTTTCAATTTATGTTTTAACATCAAATTATAGGTTGTATTAATAATATCCATAATAAATTACTGATTTGTTATATTAATAATATGTATAATATTAAATTTGGTTTGTTTACCTTAGATAATTTCCTAAAAATAATCTTAATTGAATCAATACATTCACTGTCTCATTTTGCCCAACTATGTGGGTAAAAATGTGACAGTGAAGGTGTTGTCAATAAATAATCTCTAGTAATCTAACCACTGCAGTTTTGCAACTGATATTTTTTTGGATTATAATAGGATGTTAGAAGACTTCAAAAAACTTGTTACATGGGCCGTATTAGTGCTCATATTGCCCCTCATTATTCTAAAACGGTAGATACGCAATATAAAATAGCTTGTTAGTCCCGTTAAAACTAAATAAATTAAAAATTTTCTATTGTACCTTTGTTTTTAATAAATGCTTTTGACAGTTTTAATTACTATTTCATTATATAACTATTCCATTTCGACTAAGGCTACATACTCAAAATAATACTTAAGAGCTATCCGATTTTTTTTTGTTTGAAAACTATTTCAATCAATTCAGCTGGTTTATATGCAACTTTTTATATCAGAATTTAACACTAGGCTAAATTATTAACACAAACCTTAATTTCTTTAGAAAATTTACAGTTTACGGATAGTAATTGTAATAAAAAAAAATTTTGTTATTGGCGCTACCTTGAGTATCTATTACTTATGCAAAGAATTAATTAGTATTATGTCTCATTAAAAAAAAAAAAATTGATATAAATAATAGAATTATTAATTAAAGAAATTTTCTATCTAAGCATATAGATAAATATTTATCATATCAATAAAAATCATTAAAAACTTATCATGGAACTATCAAGTTTATCCAAAAGAGTTATGACATTTTCCGATTTGGATTCAATATCAAAAAAAAAAAAACTTTCTGAGCTGATATTACTTAAATCCCATCTCGTTAAGCTTAAAATAGTCTTTTTGCTTCGATTATCTCCAGAATAATTTTTCATTAACTTTTTTTATTAGAACAAGGGAGATAAATAAATATTACACAGGAAGTACTAAAAATGGTTAGTTATACCCATCTCTTTTTAAAACAACAAATTATGGCATGCTTCCCATTACATAACAATCCCCATTGGAACAAATCAATAACATTATCATTAAAAAAAAACACCTAAAACTGAAATTGTTAAAAAAAAGATCTAAAAACCCTTTTGTTTGCTACTAAGCTTTCTTCATTTAAATAAAACTAAAAAAAAAATAAAACTTGAAAATTTGTTTTAAATAATTATTTAAAGAATATTAAACATCTATTATTATGGCTATTATATTACTATTTTATCATTATTTATCTTATTCTTATTATTACTATTTTCATTTACATTTTATATTTATTATTATTTTTTGTAAGTTTCATTGCATGATGCTAATAATGATTTTACAGTAGTAACAATTTTACTATTATTTTTTACTGTTATATTTTTTATTGTTATACTTACTATTATTATTTTTATTTTATTAATATTGATACCATTATTTTCAACTATTTGTTTATTTTAAATATTTCCATAATAATAAACTATATTATAATTTTTTTTTCATTTATCATTATCTTTTTTATAGTTGTTATACAATATGTTATTTCTGTTCATTATTATTTATGTTAATAATATATTCTTTTATCTTTAATCTTGTTCATTAAAAAAAATTCTTTTTTCTTTAAATGTTTTTGTTTCTTTGTTTAATTAAATGCGTTTTTTAGATGTCACTCCATTGACCAGTTTTTAAATAAATGAGTTGCACCTAACCTTATTAATATCATTATTTAATGTTGTAATGATTTGTATTTATATTTTTATAGTTAAATAAATGTATGTAAAAAAAAAACTAAAACCAATATATATCTTGAGGTAAATTAATATATTAAAATACCTCGAAAACTTATTACTTTAAAAAAAATATTCAAATAAAATTAGAACCTGTCAACCGGCGACTGTTGTGATTTAATAGGTGACTTGTCATCTTCTGAAGAACCTAAACAATTAATTTAAAGTAAATAGTTATTATTATTAATAAATTAATTACTTTAATTATTACTATTAAATAAATATAAATATATATATAAATATATATATATATATATATATATATATATATATATATATATATATATATATATATATATATATATATATATATATATATATATATATATATATATATATATATATATATATATATATATATATATATACATATATTTCCTTCGACATAATTTCAAATCAAATCATTGCCTTTTTTTAAAAAAAATCACAACAAATTTTTAAAAATTACTAATGCTTATTGTTTTCTTAATAACTCAATAAAAAAATAACAGTGATTTATTGCTCAACAGGTAACATTAATTGCAATGATTTCAAAAATGGTGGCAAAATTTTAAAATGTTTTTTAAAAAGATTTAATAAAAAAAGTTGAATGAAAAAATTTAACAGAAAAAAACAGAAAATAATAATATGAGAATAAATTAAAAACTTTAACCAATTATATAAAAGGCAACTATTGATTTTACCATAAAACAAACTAAAGATGTAAAAAAAAATGAAGATATAGCTTATGTCATATAAAATATGCTTCAATGAAGTAAATTAAAAGTAGTTTATCATAAACAATAAACAATTTTTTAAATTATTTTAGTCTAAAATATTTTATATATTATGAATATTTATTATTTTCAAAAGACATCTAGGTTGTTTGTAAATGCTTATTTTTTAAAATTAGGATTTTTTTAACCGGTCAACCTTGACTGTCAAGAACTCATTTTGGGAGTTCAAATGTATATATATATATACCAATGTATATATACACTACTAGTGCTTGATTTACGAATACATTTTTTTTCCCCCGTTAATCGCAATTTTTTATTTCTCTATTTTTACTATATTTTTCAAATATGTTCTTTTTTATGTATTTTTATTTTATGTCAATTTTTATTTATTCATTTTTAAATTTATTATTTTCGTAAAAAAATTTACTTTTTATAAATATTTTTATTATTTTTATTTAATTATTATCTATTATATTTTATATTTTTATATATATATTTACAAAAACGATTATTTACATTAATATAACTAACCCTAACCCTAAGCCTGACCTTGCTGCCTGGCCAAACCAAATCCTCAGTCAATGTAGCAGCACTCCCTTGCAAGTCAGGCTATTTGTCAGTTGATGTATGTACTTTTCGCTTTGCATAAAAACTATTTATGGGGACATTTTTTTACAAAAAAAGCGCTACTTACAAGGACAAAAAATTATCGAGTACACTAAAACGTCCCTGTTAATGCTAATGTCCTCGTAAGTATTCATTTTAATGTAAAATCTGTTCTCGAACATGCTACTATATGGATATATATATATATATATATATATATATATATATATATAATATATATATATATATATATATATATATATATATATATATATATATATATATATATATATATATAGTTATTTATACACACACATAAAAATATATATACACACAAAATATAACATAAATTTCAAATAAAATTAAAATAATTTAGGATGTATGAGAGTATAGAGTAGGTTGTAATAAAAAAGAAAAAAAAATTAGCAAAAATGCAAAAAATGTGAACCAGTGAGAACTATGAATTAATAGTATATGAGCTGCAAGAAATATGAACTAGTGGTCATAGGAGTAAAGCCTATTGGGCTTTAGCAATTTTGAGATTTGATATTTAAATATGAAAGTATACAATGAAACGTGTTTTGCCTTTATGAGGCCACACATCAATAAATCTCTGTTTTGGCTAGATCTGGTAACACTGTATATTATAAATATGGTTAAATTAGCTTGTTATCATTCTTTATAAATTTTAAAATTTCAGTTACTGCGAGAAATAGGTGGTACAGTATGTTATAAATGATGAATCCATAACATCAGAAAGACAATAAAACCATTAATAAACCACAATGGTTTACTAGAAGACTTGATTGTAAGTTTTAAATAGAATGATTAAGCTGAATATGCATAAAATATTCTGAAATTAAAAAAAATATTAAAAAAACAAATAAAAACACTAACTAGAGCTTGAGCTAGAGCTGTCTGATGAATCACTGCTGGAGCTACTACTTTCAGAACTGCTGTCTGAAGAACTATCAGATGCTTCAGCTAACTGTTTTGCTAAAGGATTAACTTTAGGAATTTTCTTTAGATGTTCTCGAAGTTCATCACTAAAAAGTAAATAGAAATTATTTACAAAATATAGAACTAATAACGCTAATAACAGTAGAAGTAATAATAATAACAATAACAATAAAAACTAATAAAGATAATAACAAAGAATGACAAAATAATGAATGACAAAATAATGAATAACATAACTATTGTAAGGGTTAGTTAAACTTTTTTTTTTTTGATTACTAAACTCAAGAAAACAACATTGTCATAGAGCAATGCAGAAGAACGTTTATGGTAAAAGTTCATACTTCATTTCTTAATAATATAAATTATATAAAGAGTTGGTATCAAACCTACAACCTCTTGATGTCTATCCACTGCACCACGTGCCTAACAACTGCACCACATGTCTAGCCACTGTACCATGTGTCAAACCACTGCCCCATAACAACTTTAAAAAGTTGTTCAAAAATAGTGAACTTTTTAAAGTTAGTAAAGGTTATCAAAATAAAAGGATCAAAATTTTTTATTAAATTTTAAAATAAATTTTTTTAAATAAAAATCATTAAATTTAAAATAAATTTTTTATAACTTTGGAACAGAATTTTAAATTAATCTAAGAAGCAATTTTTCGAAGAATTTTTTCACAGAAAGAAAATAAAAGCCACAATAATTCTTTTTCGTTGAAACATAAAATTGAGCATAATTTTTTGTAATAAAAAATTTGAATAACTTGTGCTTTTTTATCTCATTACTTATCTCAATCATCTCATTCTTTTTATCTTCCTTTTGTTTTTTAGTATTTAAATTATTATTAAAAAAAATATATTTTTGAAAAAAAAGTTTTAATTTTGCGTAGATAAAAAAAACAGTTCTTAAAAAGAGTTTGCGGAAAATGTTGTGTTCAAATAAACATATTTTGTTCTTTTTTCTCAACAAAAAAATTTCTGTATTTTGTACAAACTGTCTAATACAAGTTTTATAGACTATTTGGTACTAACTCTATAATTCAAGCTTTATAGTTTTAGTTAAAGATATTTTAAAATTATAAAAAACTTTTTTCTAAATAATTTAAAACTTGTAATCTGAATCATAAAAATGAGAAAAATAAATTCTAAAGACAAAAATAAAATAAAAATAATAAAACAAATAAAAATAAATTCTAAAGATTCTAAAGACTAAAAAAAGAATTTTTTGTTAATTTTCATGGCGCATCAGATTTTAATTTAAAAAAAATACTAAACAAACATTAGTTAACAAAGAATTTTTGTCTTGGCACAAAAAATTCATTATGTATTAGCAAATACATTTTTAATTATCTAATTTTATATAACTTTTCAAAATTTTAATTTTTTTTAAGGATTAAACTATTTTAACAAGTAAAAACTCTTTCATTTTTAGATAATTTAATTTAGTCCATTAATTAAAGTTCATTGTCTTCACATTAAGTCACATGAGTTATGTTTACTATTTCCATTGATTATTTTGAAAAGTTTAAAATTAAATTGAAATAATTTGCTAAATAAATTTTCTCTTTCATATATTAATAATGCAAAGTAAAAATAAATGTTTGAATAAAATATCGTTGTACTAGAGAGAAGAATCTATTAAGACGGTGAGTGCAAGAAGACCACTATAGCAAATAAAAAAAAACAAAAAAACAAAACAATAATTGTATAGTTTTTTGTAAATTTATTTAAACAAGATAATAATTTTAAAAAACATACGTTAGACCGCCTAAACCAATAGCAGTAAAGAAATTAATTGAAAACCGAGTATCTCTAGGATTATCACGAGGAAATATTCCTTCCAAATAAGGAGCAATAATTCTAAATTAACATGGTAAAGTAAACAAAAATGATTTTTAAATAAATAATAATCAATCATATAAATTTAAAAATAAAAAAAGAAATATCTTACGGATCTTTGAGACGAGCATTAAACTTTTGGATTCCAAGATACTCCGCCAGTTCTTGGAAAAGTATTTTTATAAAAATTCGACTAAAGAAAAACATAAACTTTTATAATCAAATGATGAAATTCAAAGCAAATTCTTAGAAACAAATATGCTAATATTTATACTTCTGTGTAACTTAAATAAATCTTAAACTTTTATGAAAAAAGTTACCTGGAACTTGTAGTGTCATCTTCATTGAGACGAATGCACTCCATGACCTTAAAATTATACAATAATACATGTAAAAAAAAAATGTTACCATAAAAATAGTTAGTTTTACAAAAATAAATTACAATAATTTGAATATCAAATGAACAATATTTTAATTTAAAAACCATTTCTTAGATAAAGAAACAAAGAAAAAACAATTCATTTATTGCTCAAGATAATTTTATTAATTATTACACTATTAAACATTACAATAGAAACTATATAATTCTGAAATAAAGAAATAAAGAAAGTATACACTCATTGATTGGCACAATAACTTATAAGCAAGTATAAGCAAAGTATTTAAAAAAATTTGTTCTCTTTTTTTTCAAAAAATAAATTCATAATTATTTATTTATTTTTATGAATTACATAGTCATACTTATTGAAAAACAAACTTGCTGTGTGTCATGATTTTTTTTCATGACTAACCTTCAGTTTCTAAAGAGTTTTTGGCTTCCTAATGCATGTTACTTCTAACTAGAGACTCCATGTTTTGACTTGGTCTATGCAAAACATGCTGCATAATAAATGTTTAAAATTTTTTTTTTCAATTACAAAAAAAGTAGCCTTAAAACATAAAATAATTCTTTTGTAACACATTATTTATGTTATTTTTTTTTTGTAACACATTATTTAAACATATTTATGATTTCACCATAAAAAAAGAGCTGATAACTGTTATTAATTAAATTTAAAAAAATATAGAATTTTAAAAACACAATGAATTTGTAGTATTTTATTTAACTCAGTTCAATCAGGGGTATAGAGGTTTGGGCAACAACAAACCAACTCTTATTTAATTTATAATAGTTTTTAAAAATCATTTCCTTTTCCTAGACCAAGGAAGCCATTACAGTTGAGGAAATCTATTTTTTTTTTTAAATTTTTGTTACAAACCTCCCTCAATTCTATAAGTAAAAGACACAAATCTTGAAAAATAAAATTTCTGCACAGAAAAATAAAAATTTTGCACAGAAAAATAAAATTGCATAAAATAAGAGTGGTACTACCAGGAACATGGTGAGAAATACTTACTCTACCACTGCAACAACATGTTAAGAAAATGATTAGCTACTCTTAGCTAGAGTACATTTATTTGAAATTAGGGGAAAAAAAGATGTTTTACATTTTGGTCACCAATTGGAATTTAATTTTGATATAAATTTCAATTTGATCATTTTGAAAAAAAAAAAATTAATCAATTTAAATAAAAATTTAAACAAACTTTTACGTCTAAGAATTATTGCACATGGTTTGGTTAAGGCTGATGGCCATTTATTTTAATAAAGTTCACTAAAGACAAACAAAGCTCAATAAGTGAGTACAAAAACACATGTCATTTTATTTTACCCTAAACAAAACTTTGCTAAAGCAAAAAGTTTGATTTATTATTAAAATTAATTACTAAAATAATTATTATAATTAAGTTTCAATTAATATTAATTTGATTGAAATCATTAAAGCAAAATTCAAACTTTCTTATAAAAAATAGTTTTTAATTTAAGTTTATATTATCACGTAGTAAAACATATCTACCATCCAGGGAATAGCATCACTATGCAAAAGATGACCAAAAAATTTAGCTGTATTTCTTAACTTGTTAGTTTCCAAATGATGACAACTATCATACTAAAAATAAAAATTTCTTTTACTGATAAATATTAAAGACTATATAGATAACGGGTGATGTGGAAGTTATCAGACAAATCTGAATTTAATTATTTGAGCATAACAACTTATTTTTGTGGTTTTATGCATAGGCATAAACATTCTATAAAATATAAACTTTATTATTTGAAACACAATTATTTAAAATAAGGTTAAACGCAGCTGAGTGAGAATCTTTTTGAAAGCGACTCAAAATGTTTTTTTGAAAAAAAACATATATAAAAAAAAAAAAAGAAATTTTAAATCATTTTAAAAAGGAAGGATTTTCTCAAAGAACAATATATAGCCTAAAAAGACTTGAAACTGTTCAATCCTTTTCTGATAGAAAGCATCCTGGTCATCCAACATACTGGACTAGAGAAAAGAAAACCAAATTAACGAGACTTGTCAACAATTGAAAATGGGTCAGAGAAAAATAGGTTTTAAAATTAGGGTAAATCAATTAACAATTGGTTGTCAGTTAAAAAAAAACGAATATTAAATATAGAAAATGTGAAAAGACTCCAAAATGCATTATAGAACACCACCTAAAGACAAACAAAAGAAGCAAGAAACTAGTTAACTAACTCTATAACACAAAATCGCTTCTGGTCATCAATGACGAAAAATACTTTTGTTTTGCAGGGTACAACATGGCTGGAAATTCTAGATACCACACAAACAACAAAAAAACATGCCCAGAAAGTGTTTGTTCTATAGGAAAAGAAAAATTTCCAAAAAAATTATTAGTGTGGATAGCTATATCTGACTGTGGTATGTTTGAGCCATTATTCCCCACTTCCAAGGTAATTAATTCATCAATCTATATTGATGTTTAGAAAAACAACTTCTTCTATTCATTCACAAGTATCATGGAGACTTTAACTATTTATTTTGGCCAGATTTAGCAAGATTTCATTATTCTAAAGATTCTCTAAATTGGATGGACCAATATGTCCATTACATTGATAAAGAATCTAATCCCCTAAATGTGCCTCAAGCCCGACTAATTGAAAACTTTTGGGGACATTTGGCACAGAAGGTTTAGGAGGAATATTTGGCAAGCTTCAACAGAGCAAGTTTTGATTGATCGAATTAAACTACAAGAAATTGATTTGATTTTTTTACAGTTGCTTATGAAAGACGTCAGATCAAAATTGAGATCAAAATTGAGAAATTGCAGATGGTGCTTTTTCATTTAAAAAACAACTTATTTTTAAGATAAATACTTTATTTTAAAAAAATATAATAATTTTTTTTTCATTTATAAATAAGTTATTGACATTTTTATTTTGTCAGATAACTTATGCATCACCCATTATTAAAAAAAAGATATTTAAACAAAAATAGTAAATTTAATTTCATGTGCTTCTATTTAGTTACAATTTGATAACAGACTACTAGAAACCAACTTGAGTTTTTTTTTTTTTTTTTTTTAATTCAATTCACCTACTTAAGGCCGAGAAGGCCACTACAGACAAGGAGGTTACTTATTTGTGGTTATAACCCTCTCTCAACTCTATAACTCCGAAACACGAACCTTGATGAACAAGGCCGCTGTGCGGAGAAACGAGTTAAATCTCCAGCTTAATCATACCTTAATCAGCTTAATAGTGCCTTTTTAATAAACCTGTTTCTAATAAATTAAATGCTTTAAAATTATCTTTTAAAAATGAATACAGAAAAATATTTTCATTAAAATAGTTTCTAGAAATTTTAAAATATAAAACTATTAATATTCACAAATAAGAGTATTTAGTAATTTGCATTGATGAATTTTCAAACTTTTTTTAACAATAACTTTTTGATAAAAAAATTATTGATAAAAGAAATAAAGAAAAGATTTTAAAGCAGATTTTCTCAAACAGATTTTTAAAAATTTCTAATTACAAAAGAGTTAAAAATCCAAAGAAATTAGAACCAAAAGTTTTATCTTGCCACAAAATATGAAAGCAATTGAAATTAAACAAAATGAACATCCCCCCTTTCTACAAAATTATATTTTATGAATTTAATTTTATACTCAGAAGTATATAAATATACCTGTTCTTTAAAAATGACAACATAGTTTTCCATAAACTCTTTCCGCAAAAGACAAAACCTCTAAAAAAAATCTTGAAAAAAGTCTCAAACAACTAAGATAATACCAAAGAAATTAAAAAAAAAAAAAACTTTCTAATTATTCTTTAAGGATTAAAAAAAAGTTTTATACGATAAATTAATTTAGTACCTGGCCTAACAGCCCATAAAACTTTTCAAATGATCTTTGTTGAGCGCAACATTCCACAACCATCAAACAGAATTCGTGCTAATATTAAAGAGAGATGGTAGAATAATTTTAAATTTTTTATGTTTAAATTTAAAGGTAAAGGACACAAAAATAAACATTGTAAATGTTGTTTTAAAACTTACCTCTTGTCCAGGTTTAATGTTTAATTTCATCATTTTATGTGCACATTCTTCAAAGTCCAAACTTAAAAAAAAATTTGTAAAGGTTTACTCAAGACAATAACAATAAAAATAACATTAGATAATTAACATCACAAAACTATATATATATATATATAAAAAAAAAAAAAAAAAAAAAAAATTAACAACAATAATAAAAAAGCATCCATGTTAATATTTCATTTCCAGTTTAACTTTATTATTTTAACCAAACTTTACCTTTACACCTTACATATTAAGTACTACATATAAAAGTACACTACAAACAGGTTGCTACTAAATATTTGGTGTTGTTAAGAAAACATTTGCTGTAACATGGTTTAGTATTTATCTTATAATAATAAGATTAGAGAAGAAAGACATGATTTGATTAAGGATTTTTGTAGTTCTTTGATATGACTTAATCAAAGGCAAAAAGTAAAGAGATTTTAAATATTTTCAGCATTTTATAGAATAAAAACCCAAACTGAAGTAACATTTAAAATAAATGTTTCAAAGGTGTAAAATAAATGTTTCAAAGGTGTAAAATAAATGTTTCAAAGGTTTGAAACTTTTGTTTTAGTTTGAAGATTAAAATTTACAAGAATCTTTGTTTTATACATATATATAATGTAGATTTCATTCAAACAATGAAAGAATAAAAAAGACAAAAAAGATAACACAATTTTAATAGAGTTTCATTTGTAGCAGCATTAAAACATAAAATTAAAAAAAAAAAAATATGTGTGTAACAGGCTTGTGGTCTAGAATTTACTGTGAATGATTATACTACACCATTTAAGTGTGAAACTAAAAACAGCAAAAAACGTATTAAAGGTGCACACTGGTTAAGTTAATTTGACTTAACTAGAGTGTGTTTTGCATAAGAAATAGATTGTTACACACTGTTATCAAACTATAAAGGGATATGGCTGGCACACGCACACACAAACAAAATTTTTTTTTAAGAGGCAAAAAATTCTCTTGTTCAAAATGATTAGCGAGAAAAGTCTTTTAAAAGAAAAAAGGTTTTAAATCATATTTCTATTACCTTGATTGAACTGTTAGATAAATTAACCTTCTGAGAGCAACCAAGTTTGTTTCAGTCCTATCAACAATCTCCACTGAATTCTCTAAAATTATAACCTAAAACTTAAAAGGAGTAAAAAAAAATGTTTTATAAAATATTTTAATGTTTGCAAACAATCCAAACATTAAGTCTGCAATGCAAACATTAAGTTTACAATGCAAACATTAAGTTTACAATGCAAACATTAAGTCTACAAAAGCTCCTTTAAGATGTCTGTCATGGCTTTTGTGGCTCATTCAAAAAGACATTAATTCATCATCAAAGGATTTAGTTGGAGCCATCATTAAATATAAAAAACAAACAAACACAAAAAAAGGTGCCAATCTGCAATGAAACACTGCAACATTAAATAAAAGAAGGAAATAAACACATTAAAAAATTATTGTGTAAGTTCATTATTATTTATACCATCTTTTCCTTCTTCACCTTCATTTTCATCATCATTGTCATCATCATCGTCATCATCATTTTCACTTCCCTCATTTGATGTTTCATCATCATTTTCACCCAAAATATCTAAAATATATATTTAAAATATCTAAATACAATAAGATAAACTTAATTTCTATTATTTGATTTTAAAACATTAAATCATTATCAATTCAAAAATAAAACTTGAAAGTATACAAGTCAAAATCTCCTATAAAGTTTAGTCTAAATACAATTTAAAAACTGTCTACAAGTCTAAATACAAGTGTACCAGTCTAAATACAAGTGTACTAGTCTAAATACAAGTGTACCAGTCTAAATACAAGTCTTCCAGTCTAAATACAATTGTATCAGTCTAAATACAAGTCTACCCATTTAAATACAAGTCTATCAGTCTAAATACAAATCTACGAGTCTAAATACAGGTCTAAATACATCTAAATTTTGAATAAATTACATTGATTAGTTTAATTTTCCCTAAAATATAACAAAATATACAAATAAAACATATAAAGAAATTTTTAACAAGTTTATTTATTTTCATACTTATTTATTTAAATGCATTTATTATTAAATATTTTTTTCTGATGAATCATTATAAAAATAGACTATTTTCTATTAAAAGTAAAAAATGTCTATTTTTGATTTCAATAGAAAAATGTAAAATTAGGTCATCATTCTAAAAGGATAAAGATCTAAAGCCAAATAAGTCTGTCCGACAGTGGTCTTGTTTGGGTTCTGGTTAGAAAAGGTTTGTGTTTAATGTTAGAGTTAAATGTTAGAGTTGCAAATCAAATAAAATTAAAAAAAAAACAATCTATACTTGCACACACTCACAACCACAAACTCTATTTTACATTTAAATAAGGTATTTTAAAGAAAGTGTGAACTGAATATTTGAAATTCACCTTTACGGATTTCTTTATACTTTTCTTCATTAATCTCATAGTCAGGATCATGTTTAAACACATCTAAATTATCATTTCAAGTTAATTTAAAAAAACTGTTTAAATTTTTTAAAATATTTTATTTAAACAAACTAAATTCAGTTTACTCAAAACATCTTCAGCGCTTCCTGTATCATCAATACGAAGCAAGTGAGTTATTTGATCATCTTCTTCAACCAGATTTAGATCATCAACCATTATTTGATAATCCTTTATAAAATATAGATGTTGTAAAAATGCATTCATTTACTGAACTGTGCTAATCTAAAATATATTAAGTTATATGACCATATTCTACAACTATAAACCTTTTAAATAAATTAATACTTAATTAATACTTTTAAATAAATTCATTTTTTAAATAAAACTTGTAAGAAAAAGATTTAAGATTAATACTATAAATAATATAGTGTAAATATTTTCACAGCTTTACTCTTTAAATCTATTAAATTGTCAAAGATCTAAGTTGCTATGAACTGTATAAATTAGCATATATCTGTAATGTATCTGTATTAACGTTCTTTTTTATTTTTTAGTATTTTATGAAATTGTTTTTTTTTTTTTTTTGTTATATGCATTCCTTTTTTCTTTAAGTTTTATAAAAAAACTAATCTGTTATGTAAGTTTTGACAGAAAGAAAATAAAGCTAATTTATTTATTATTAAATAAATTAAATAAATTAGCTTTATTTTCTTTCTGTCAAAACTTACATAACAGATTAGTTTTTTTATAAAACTTAAAGAAAAAAGGAATGCATATAACAAAAAAAAAAAAAAAAACAATTTCATAAAATACTAAAAAATAAAAAAGAACGTTAATACAGATACATTACAGATATATTATGAATTGCATTTGAAATAATTTTTTTGATTCAAAAAATTTTGAAAAAATAAATTCAACTTTATTTGTTGATGTAACAAAATTACTTTGTTACTTGTTTGGGTTATTTTACCTTAAATTAATTAAACAATTAACTTCTTAACCACCTAAACATACATTATTGATTGCTCTTTACACATACTGATTGCTATAACATGCATTATTGATTACTTAACACGCATTATTGATTGTTATTGTATATTGCGTATTATGATTACTTTGTCTTTTTATATTAGTTTATTGATATAACACTTAACTATTGAATACTTAATTATATGATAAATTTATAATTAAGATTTTATGAAGTCTTGATTGAAAACTGTCCTTAAAATACTACAGCAAAAAATTCAAACATCATATCTTTGTTGATGTTCTTTATGAGAATGATTGAGCTGACAATATTATATATAAATATATAAAAGGATAATGAATTATTTTTAAGAACTGATTAGATATCTTGAACATCTTACGAAACTTTCCGAATAAAATTTCTTAAACTATTAAAATTTTTTTTTTTGAGATGCAAACTCGTTAAAGCTTTCAAGAAAATAAAAATAAAAAATCCTGACAAAAAATCTAATAAAAGTAATTGGTAAAAATAAGGAAATTCTACCAGAATGTAGTGCATAATATTTATGCAATGACATGAATCATTGTTTTTATAGTAGATTAACAACTAAACAAACTTTAAAAGCTAGAAAATATAGAAAGATCAGTTGGTAAAATCCAATCTATTTGCCAAACAGATACTGAAAAACAGACAAAATAAAGTAAAATAATAATTTATTTAAAAATTCCCACTAAACTTACTTTAAAACTAACTTTTAAAAGTATAAAAGATATACTTTAAAAGTTCAAAGGGTTTGAAACTAACTATAAAAATGAGAAAAAAACTATAAAAACATGGTATAAAAAAACTAACTATTCTATATTAGTAAGAAAATGTTTTTATATTTTTCAATAAAAGATTTTATACAATGTTATGATTGTAACAGTGCTGCCATGGTTGTCACAGCAACAATTGCCTTGTGCTATCACCACAATCAAACCACTTAGTGGTTGCACATTATTCAAAAAGTAATTATAAAATTGTTAAGATATAAATAGTGTTCTAATGCTGTTAAGATACCGCAGCTGAAATTAATAAAAACTGAAAATAAAATATTAAATACAATACTCAAGATTAATTTACCTTAAAACCATCTTTGCGAATTGCAAACATGACTTCTATCATATATTGAACTCTTTTGTCAGTCTCTGAATCATGCAGTATACTTCGTAACCTCTCAAATATAGCTGCGGGAAAGAACAAAAATAAAAGTTGAAAAAAAACTGTTACTTTATTTAAATATAAAATAAAAATTAAAAAATTAAAAAAAAAATGACTAACCATTAATTCCTCGTGGAGAAACATCTACTAACTTTAATCCAACATCTTTTAAGAAACTAATCTGGGTAACAAAAATAAAATAAAATTGTTTTCTCTAAGTGTTATGTGTTGACAAATAAAGTTTAATTTGCAATTTGCAAATTTGACAATGACATCAAATTTTCTTTACGTTAAACTACTAATAATCAAAAAGTAAAAAACTATGCAAAAAAATTATTTTTGATATTAAATATTTATCTATTTTCCATATTAAATATTTTTCATAAAAATTAATTTTAATAATAACATGTTAATTTTTCATTTTTTATCCAATTGTTATTATTTTACTAACTGTTTATTTTCTATTTTAATAATTTTACTTATTATCTTATAAACTAGACTTTTTTTATAAGTTTTAATTCAAGATTTTAAAATCAAAATTTTTTCCAGCAATTTCGCTCCAAACAAGGCTGCTAGCAACCACTATCTAAATTAAGAGTTAGCAGAAAACAAATAAGAGAGTTAAAAAGCAAGGAAATAGTAACAGAATGAGGAAACTACATGAGTCAGGAAAATGGAAAAAAACTATAAACCATTATTGTTTAAGGAAATAATTTTGAGCATGAAGGATCAGTTAAAGTAAAAAGTATGAGTGAGAAGTCACAAAAGATTGTATTTTTAGTAAAGCAAGTTTACTTAAGCAGCAGCCATGGTAACGTTTGTAGAAAAAAGATGATTGGATGACAAAATATGGGATTGAAAATTATTTAGTAGAGATTGAAGCAGATTTAACCTAACTTAAACACAGGTTTATTTTTATTAATTTTTAATTGTAATACTTTTATTATTTATACATAATTGAATTTACTGAAAATAAAAAACAATAGTTTGGAAGGGCAGAGTCATTTAATACTTAGAAAAAAAAATTTAAACTAGTCTACATTATTTTCACTTTACCATTTCAAGGAGTTGCCACTCAGGCAAACTATGTCAGCTTTGGATAATGAGTAAACCACCCCTAAAAGGACTCAGGATTTGAAAATCACAAAAAAATTACTTCTTTCTAGTTTTTGGTACCCAGGAGCTTTAAAAATATAAAAAAGCTTATGGGCTACTAATGGAGAGGAAATCAAGACTTATAGGTCAGAAGAACAATTAATTTTTGAACCCGGATTCCTTAGGTATAATGGCGGCAAGGACTCTTGGACTCCAAGACACCGGGCTTTAAAACAATAAGTTCCAAGTCATTGAATATCAAAAACAAATTTCTTATAGCATTGATCAATCAACATGTTTGTAGCTTCTGATCACCAGAGACCATATATATATATATATATATATATATATATATATATATATATATATATATATATATATATATATATATATATACAATTATTTTTAATAATAACATGTTAATTTTTCATTTTTTATCCAATTGTTATTATTTTACTAACTATTTATTTTCTATTTTAATAATTTTACTTATTATCTTATAAACTAGACTTTTTTATAAGTTTTAATTCAAGATTTTAAAATCAAAATTTACCTTTATAGCTTTCTATTCACCCGATTTGAAAGTGAACGGAAACATAACGAGACCATACTAGACGACAAACGGTACGTACTAATGCACTACACCATCACACCTGTAGACATCAACAGTCTTCAAAATCAGTATATCAAATATTTGGCTCGTTGCCAAATATTTGATATATGCGACACAATGATCGCAAAAAGTGACCAACGGCTCCGTTGGTCACTTTTTGCGATCAATGTGTCGCATAAACAATATATGGTACAACCCCCCGTTTAGCAAAAATGTTGAAACTAAAATTGGAAATCGTTTTTTAACTTTAATTGACCAACACTTTCCAGTAGGACACAGGCTTCATAAAATTTTTAATCGAAACTATGTTAAAGTAAGCTATAGTTGCATGCCTAATGTCAAGTCTTTAATAAATACGCATAATAACAAAGACAAAAATATTTGTCCGTTAAATAACCAATGCCTTTTTAGCAATATTGTATACCAAGCCACTGTAAGTTCTGGTGATCCTCAATGCAAAGATAAAGTTTATTTCGGTATAAGTGAAACCACATTTAAATTAAGATATGCCAACCATCTTAAATCTTTCAATGCACCTAAATATAAAAATGACACTGAACTTTCCAAAGAAATATGGGAGCTAAAATCGAAACATATAAATCCTGTGATTACATGGAAGATAATAGCACAATGTAAGCCCTACAATCAAGCATCAAAAGTTTGTAATCTTTGTCTCCGCGAGAAGTTTCACATATTATCATATAAAGGAGAAAACTTACTTAATAAAAGATATGAAATAATATCAAAGTGCCGGCATTCAAAAAATTTTTTACTATCCTTATTTGATACTGGGGACTAAAACCTTGACGTCTTTTTGTTTTGTTTTGTTTTGTTTGGTAACGTCAGAACTCGTTCCACCGTAATTTTAATTTGTAATTTTTAAACGGTTTTTAAGTGACAAAATACACAATGGCTGATGATTGCCGAAAGGCATGAAACTCAGAGTTCCATCAAAAGTTGTTTTTATTCATTTAATATAAATAAATAAATAAATAAATATATATATATATATATATATATATATATATATATATACATATATATATATATATATATATATATATATATATATATATATATATATATATATATATATATATATATATATATATATATATATATATATATATATATATATATATATATATGTTACAGATGTACAGTATATTATAATACATCTGTGAATTCTACAGATGTAGTTACATCTTTTTAATATTGTTAAATAAAAATACAGAATTTTATGAAATCATTAAATTTTAATGCATTATATTAACCAGATGTAGTTTCATATATGGTTTTTTTCAGTAGTTACACCTGGAGGAAATTACTACAGATGTTATTGGACTTGGAGAAAAATTACCAGATGTATATACATCTTCCTAAAGATGTTGTTAGAGGTCATTAAATTTACAGATGGTATTGGACAGATGTTGAAGTAAAAAAAAATATACAGATGATCTTGGACAAAAGTGTACAGATAATCTTGGACTACTCTGCATATGTTGTTGGACAGATGTAGTAATGTTACATATGTTGTTAGACAGATGTAGAAATCTTTTACCAAGTCATTATATATACATACATTAAAATTGATTAAAATTTTTTTTTAACATAAATTATAATAAACCTGGAATCTTAAATAACCTTGGGATTTCTTTAAATTCAAAAAACAAAAGCAATTTTTATCATGGAATTATAATGAATTATTTTAGAAAATTTGATGAAAGTATTAAAATAATAAAAAATGATCGACTAAGATTCAGATTGTATAAAATGGAAAAGTCTGATGAAAAGTTATTTTGATAACAAAACCAAAAATATGAATTGGTGAACTTTGTTTAGTTTTTATAGCCATATATTTTATAGTATAGATAAAATAAGCCGCAGAGTTACTTTGGTGCTTTTAGCTTTGTTTCTTTTTCAAACTCAAGAAAGTTTTGCACTTACAAATATTTAGTACACACAAATCTTTTTTTTAATTTTATCTAAACACAAATTATCAACAGATTTTGATTTTAAGGATTTTTGTCATTATTATTATTTTTTAATTTTTTCATTTTTATTATATTATTATTTTTATTGCTTTATTTTTTATAATTTTTTTTAAACAATTAAAATAGAAAAAATAGATTGTAATTTAAATATATAATATTTAAAAAAAATATCTGTGCCATACATCTTTCTTTTGTTAAAAAAAGTAAAACACTTACAGCTACTTCACAACTGTCTCCTGTTGGATTCTGTAAAAGCAGTGTAAGAATCTCTAAAGCTAGAAGCTCATGTGCCTAGAAGAGTCAATTAACAAATCCAGTTATCATTTCTTTATTTAGTAATTTAAATATTAAATAAAAAAAACACCATTCGAGTGAAAAAATAAATAAATAGTGAAATTTAGAAATTAAATAAGAAATTAAAAAAACTTACAACTTGCTGATTTACAAGGTGGGCAATAAATTTAGCAGAGTTAATACAAACAAGCTATTAAACAAAGATGTAAGATATTTATAAACAATTTACTTTCATTTATTAAATTTTAACAAAATAATTTTTTTATTTTTTATTTTAATAGGCATCTTTGAAATAGATCTAACTTAAAGCTTAGTATACAGGAAAAAAATTTTTTTTGTTATTGTATTTTTTTTTTTCCGTTTAAATTAATGTTTTATAAATTAAATTAAAGAAAAAACTGAACCTTATCATTCATTTTAAAAGACCTTCTAAATTGAAGTATAAGTCTTCTAAGTACAAGTTCCCCGATTTTTGGAAACTAAAAATAATTGATTTCAAGATAATGATAAAAAAAAAAATTCTTAAAATCAAAATCTTTATAAACGTAAACAGTGTTCAACGTTTGTAAAGGAAAATATAAAAAATTAAAAAAATAACTCACTTTAGTATTTATAATAGATACCAAAGCAGCATACACATTTGAAAATGTTGGAGAAGCAACCTGAGCGCGAATTATTGACTGCGCCAACAAACCTCTGAAAAACAATTTTTTTCTCATAAATTTAATAAAAAATGTTGAGACTTTCATTTATCAATTTTTATGGCATAACATTATTTATCTTATATACTTTTATAAACCTTGTAAACTAATAAAAATATCAGTTGTTTTAATGTTTTAAAACATTTCATAAAACTTTTGAGTACTCTTTGTGAGTAATTTAAAAAAGTTTTAAATTTAACCTTTAAACTAACCATATCAAACCAACTATTTTTTAGTTATAAATATTAATAAAAACTTTAAAAAGAAAAAGGAAAATTCAAATTTTTAATGTATTTAATTCTAAGATATTTACATAAACTTCAAACCAATCAAAAGTAAATGACTAGAAAATTATGCCAATAAAAAATTACCATTCGTATTGTTTATATATAAATTAACTGTTCTGAAAATTTCTAATTGTTGAAATAAAAAAAACTCCAAATGAATGTGTCAATAAAGAAAACTTTGCGCAATTTGTGACAAAACTTCGGTTTGTGAATTCTATTTTGTTGCTATCAAACCGTTTATATATAATAAAAAATTTGTTTCGAAAGTTAAACCTGTCTATTTCTATTAATATTGTTGATATATGCAGATCTTCAAACAGAGTTTTCTCCTTGATAATTTTATATTTTAATGTTATGTCCTAAGGCAATTAATCCATAAAATTAAAATGTCATTAAAGAAACATTTATAATATAATAGAAACTCTGACATAAAAAATCTAAAAAAACTTTTAAATGAAGCTCTTATTACTATGGTTAGAAGTTTTGCAAACAAATGGAAACAACTAAATTTTATAATAACTCAATGTCATCAACTAAATTCTTTACTACATAAAACTAATAGTCTTTTGGCGAAAAACACCAACCTTGCTCCTTGGCATTTTATAACTATTTCTAAAGTTCAAAAAACTGGTTTTCACATTATATGTATAGTTTTTGCTCAGAGAGTAACTGATGTAGCTGTCTAACATTTTGCTTAGTTTTTAAAAATTCAACATGATTTTCTAACCCCCTCTTGTTAAAGCTTGCAACTCAGGATTTTATTTATAAGGTTACTTCTGCATTATATTGTTGTTTTAAAGCACTATTTCCTTTGAGTATTATACCGACCACAAGATTTGTAGAAAATATAGATACTTTATTCTTAATACTGAATTTATATAAGTTACATAAAGAAAAACATAAATATATTAAAAAAATCTTTTAAAAACAACATATTAAAAATGGACTAAAAAGTAAAAAATTTATAAAAAAAACTTTTTGAAAATAATATTTTAAAAATGGGCTAAAGTGTAAAAAATAAACTAATTTATGGCACCCTAGGAAGTATTTGTATGTGTATGTACACAACCTAAAATATCCATTAATTTCAATGATAGAAAAAGTTGGGTGCCAATAGGAATGAGCTGTACTTAGTAGCCCAACATTTTTAGTCATCGATTTTAATGGATATTTTAGGTTGTGTTAGGATATTTTTAGAATTGTTTACGACACAATGGAGTACCATTCTACAGTTTTAGAGCTTTCCACAAACGTTGTATCAAATTGCCCCATACTTGCTAATAGAAAATAATTGCTATATTTTTAGTATCAACTTGTTTTTTAAAGGATTCTGTTTAATGAAGTAAATAGCCCATGAATTATAGTTTACAAAATAATGTTACTTACCAATAGACACATTGAAGAAGATTAAGAACCTTAAAACTTATCAACTTCAAAAACTAATAAATTACTTTGTCATCGAAAAAACATAAACTTCGACCCCTAACAAGCCTAGTGATGTCAAATAAATTTTTTTTTTTAACAACAGTTATGCATTTTAAAGTACTGTCTTGCAATTAAATTTAATTTGAAACCATGTTAAAATAATTAAACCAATAATTTATTCTTATCATTAATCAATAAAAAGAAGAAACTATGTTAATGTTAGAGACAATCTGGCAGTACATCCCAGAATGCAATTTTAATCAATTAACAAAAGTTTTTTTAAGCAAATAGGTTTTGATTATTAACTGCAAATCAAATTGGTTTGGTTACTTGGTAGCTCAAATAAAACAATCACAAAAAGTTTCAAAAAACCCATTTAACGTCAAACACATCCAGAGTAAAAGAAAAATATATTTACCTTCCGCGCACAATATTTTCCTGTAAAAGCTCTTCAACAATGTGACCAATGTTTGAGATATTAACCTAAATACAAAATAAAAATAAAGATTTGTTACTGAATATTTCAATATAACTAAGTTTTTTTTTGCTAAAGTCAATTAAACTAAAATTTATATTATTATGTAAATTATACATTTTTTCTATACTTATTTTACAGTATAACTAGCTGATTATAATACTAATACTAATTATATTGTAAATTATAATAATTTTAGTGTAACTTTTTATTAGATATTTAGGCAAGCAAGGATCAGGAAAAAATTATTTTTTTTCCTGGTATTAGTCCTCAATCAAAATTTCTCATTCCTGTGAAAGTAAATAACAAAATGTCTACACATACATAAGTGTTTTTTCATTCCTGTGCAAGTAAATAACAAAATGTGTACACATACATAAGTGTTTTTCACATTCCTGTGAAAGTAAATAACAAAATGTGTACATATACATAAGTGTTTTTTCATTCCTGTGAAAGTAAATAACAAAATGTGTACACATACCTAAGTGTTTTTTAGAAGAGTATTCCTATACAACTGGTGTTTAAGTGATTTGTATATAAATATATAAAATATATACCTTAAATAAAAATATAAATAACTGAAAGGCTAATAATTAAATAACATACATAACTGGAAAGGTAATCCAATTTAAATAATTTTATAATTATCATTTGATTAGGATTTTATTTCATTATCATTACTACACTTTTAAAATCTATTCCACACAGACTATACTATTTCTATACTTTTTCCTTATATGTATATTTAAATTTTCAGGACCCGTAAAATACGGATCTTTACCAAACCTACCATTTCCACACCAATCATTTGTATACCTATTCTTTATTTACTTCAATATTTTTCATATATTCAATATTTTGTTCTAAAAAATTGCTTTAAAAGCAAAAAAATTAACATGCGCACCTTTTCAGCAAATATAGAGCTTATAAGAGATATATAATTAGGTTTGTTTATCTCCTAAACGCATATCATTAATAGCTCAGTGGTTTAGTGCACTGTCATCAGTGTCATTTTGAGGGCTTTAAAACCTCCCCTTAACATAATAAATTTTTAAAATATTTTTAATCTTGCTTATATATTTATAGTAAAAAAATAATAATATAGCAAAAAAGATTTCTAATTATCAAAATAAAACTTTAAAGTTTTCTCATCTTATAAGTAGAAATATATATTTATAGATTTCTCATCTTATATATATATTTTTTATTATACACGTTGTTTTTGTTTTATATAATTCCATATACTGCCTGCAAACTCAACTTAATGCTAAAGATGTTTAGCTTACAGACATTTGTATGTAATCCTATATAAATGGCAAAACTAAGAATAATATTAGACCATCAAAAACTATAGATTTGGCCTTAAGTGTAAAAGGCTAATCTAAAATTAAAGCCAAAAAGATTTTGTGCAGTGACATTAGTTTGTGGTAAAAAAAAAAACGTTTATATGTCAAGTTTGCTTTTGCATTTATCTTACATTTTTTGATTAATTTTAATTATGGTACATGCAACTGCACAAAAAGATAATTTAAATTGACACAGATATATCATTTCACAGATAAGAGTTTGTATTTATTACAATAGTTATAAATAGATAGTTACAGATATAACATAGTAACTACTATATTTAGTCTTTATTAGAATATATCCCATAAAATTATATTCTACATATTTTTAATAAAAGGAATTTTCCTAAACAATTTAAATAAAATCTCAATTCTAGTTTTTTGTCACAAAGTGACATCACATATGCAAAATAAACATTGGCTTCAACGATTTACAAAAAATCGGAGTTTATCATTTTTAATGGTCTAAAAAGAAAATAACATAAATTTATCAATCAGAAATTATCAAGAATGGGTTGAATCTAAAAATGAAGTTTCAAATTTTCTTCTAGGACAAGACAATATGTTGTGTGTTTATTCAATATTGTCAATTTTTTTAAATACAATAACATAAATACAAAAATTCAAAACAAAATAGTTTGGGCAAAAAATATAAGTGGGTTTTTTACATTTGCATATAACATTATATATAAAAGCAACTGTATTCCTATGCAATAAAACTGCCTTTATTTAAAAAACCCACTTGAAAAGTGTTGTTTAATTGCAATAAGAGTTTATAAAATGGTTTATTTTTCAATTGCATTCATAAATTTGACACATCAGTGGTTTAAAGCGCTGTCATTGATGCCGTTTTGTGAGGGTTCCAATCCATCTCTTAACACTATATATTTTCAATCACAATATTTTTTCAATCTGGTCATATATATTTATAGCAAGAAAAATAAATATAGCAAAAAAGACTTCTAATTGTTAAAATAAAAGTTAAAGTTTTTTCTGACCACAGATTTTTTTTTTTTTTTTGCCTTCACAGCAACACTATTTGGTATAGCGGGACTGTCTAATTGATTTTTTTCTTTATTAAGTTTCAGACCTTAATTTTTTTTCAGACCATCCGCAGCATATTAGGTTACTTAAGCACATTAATAACATTAATAAGTATCTCAATCATGACACATAAGCAACAAATTTCTCCCTGTGTTTTGAGCTAGCCACTCCGCCATGCTAGCATGTTGACTAATGAAAATTTTAAAACTATATAATAAATAAAAGTCTTGATAAAATGGAAATAAATGATCAAAATAAAGATGATACAGCAATGCAATTTTCAAGTGAAAGTAAAACTGTAAAACTTGATATATGTTTTTGCATGTACATTACATAATTTGAAGTTTACATTAGATAATTGCGACTCTTTCTCGCCACTACCTCAGTTCCAATAGCTACCAAGCGTTTTGTGTAAACATGCTTAAAGAGGCACTACTGCTACTAAAACTATTAAGTTTGGCAAAATTATATAGAGATTGTAAAATATTTAATATATAAAAGACTTTTATCTATAAAATAATTTAACTTTTGACTAACTTTAATGTAGACTGTAGAATGTAGTTTTCAACTTACTTTATTGACAAGCCCATTAATGCTTTTCTTTAATGATTCCCATGCCATTCTTTGAAAAGCAACACTAAAGTTTAAAAGTTATTATTAAGTTAAAACAACAATGTTTTCTAAAATAAAATAGAACATAAACTATATAAAAAATAAAATGTTTAAATTAGGGTCATGTCTTCCCCTACCATGAGGAACTACTGTGATTTTTGCAAAACTAAGTAAATTTTTAATGTCATATTTTGAAATATATGTATTTTTAGCATTGTTTTGTTCAAATTTTATTTATTTCAGTAATAACATATAATTAAAAAAAATTTCATTTTAAATTTTTATGATAAATATATTTTCTTAAATAAAAGTGTAACAAAATTGTAAAAACAATTTTTTTTAATTTTATTGAAACTTAATAGTATTTTAGTATAACAAAAACTATTTGCATAATCCTCAACACAATAGGAGAAAATGATAACTATGTACCCATAGAAAATATTTTTTCAGTTTATTATTTTTAGTGTTTTATTGTTTTTATATTTCTTCAAAAAAAAAAACAATTAGCTTAACGCTAAATTAAAGGTTAATGGTAATTTAACCCTAGAGAAAATTCACAATTTTCTCAATTTTTTAATGAAATGTTTTGTAAATTTTACTTATGATGTAAAGATGAACAAGAATATGATGCATTATTCAAACAAGAAAAAAAATAATCTGAAAAAATTATACTATATTAAGGAATAACGGCATGCAGCATGTTAGTGAGCTGGAAAATAACGTAATAATTGATGAATCCAATAAATATAAATCAGAAACATTTAAATACTCAAATAATAAAAGATGCAAATCTATTACACAATGATCATCTACTACTTAAATGATTACCAAGTGTTGTAACTTCATCCAAATGGTTAGAGATTCAAATAGCTGAAGAATATATAAAGGAAGTAAAAGGTATAAAAAAAATTAAACCAAAAAAAAAAAGCTTCTGAAAAAAAAAATTATAAGAAAAAAAAGAAAAAACAAGAAAAATCTAAAAGAAAACTAATTCATAAAAATAAAAATAAAAATAATAAGAAAAAAATTTAAAAAGAATCAGTTCTGATTCAGACAAAGCTATTGGTGGAGAATTACTTTGTCGGAAATGAATTAAAATGCAATGTTTCTTTTATTTAGTAATAATATTAGAGTTATGCTTATTTACTTTTTTTTTTAAATAAATAAAATTAAAATTAAAATAAAAAATTTTTTCAATTGTGGTTGGTGAAGAATTATTCACAGTAGGTGGTGCTATAGGGTAAGTATAGAAACATGAACTTACAAAAATTTAAAAAATATTCCAAAAATATGATGTAATATAGAGCAAAATTTACTCAAATATAATTATAGAAATTAATTATTAATTGAGTTTTCACCTGAAAACCTTAAATTAAAATCTGTTATGAGTTTTCAGAGTTATGAAGTTTTAAAGTTGAAAATTTTCTTAAAACCGCAGTAGGGAAAAACATGGCCCTACAATATATATAAAATATGTAAAAAAAAGTAGAATTTACAAAAAATTATAAAAAAATTTAATATTCAAGTATATTTGGAATTTAAACATAATAAAATACATTTACCTATTTTTATCTGTAATTCCTTCCTGTAAAGCTCTGAGTTTAGATGGTGGAATATATGCACCACCTAAAGAATTTTAAAAAAATGTTTAAAATAATTTAAAAAATTATGATTTGAAATCTCAATTTTAGGACCACATTCTTCACTAATGTGGCACAAAATAATAACATTTAAAAATATATGTATATTTTTTTGATAGCCGATTTTGGTTTTATATTATTTTCCATAGTCTAAATAACAAGATTAAAAATCCATTATTTAGATAGTGGATGCTGGTAACTGGTAATTTTTCTTGTTGAATTTTGTATTTTGAAAAATGTATGTATGTACTGAAGCCACCGGCAGCAGGCTATTTCAGTGTGACACCAAAGATGTTATAATACGCATTTACAGTTTTTTTCTCCTACTTGAATTAAAATAAAAATAGCAAAGAGAATGCTTTGAACTAGATAAAATATTAAAAAAAAAAAAACAGGTAAAAAAAAGCATTTTTCATAAAAGTTGATTAAACTAACAAAAAAATTTTTCGTTGCGATTTAAACATTTTTGTAACAAAATGTTTTAATTTTTTTGGCAAGCGCTTTATTATTCGCTTACAAAGGTTTTGCGGGCGTGTGAGCAAGCGCAAAATTTTTCATACATAAAAACTTCAGTCAAATAAAAAATAAATTTGAGCTTAAAAAAACTTTAGATTTATTAGTTACCTGCTTTTGTAAAAATATCATCAATAGATTTTTTTTCTTTTTCATTTTCAACAATTGATTGATCTTTTGACTTCGATATTTTGGCTTTGTTTTCTAATTCTTCATCGTTGTCTTTTACCTGAAAAAGAAAAATTGACTTCAATTTTTAAAAAATTGTGCAAAAAAATTTTTTTTTAAAAAGCAATTTTAAAAGTTACTAAAAACATTACAGAATTAACTTAAAATCACTAAAAAAATATTTTGGAGTAAATAATTACTTACTTTGACTACACTTTTCATCTTTGTATCTTCTATTTTATAATAAATATAGATACTAAATAAAAATAAGGACACTTAATATGCATTAATTTTACAACTATAACATAATATAGCAATTTAATATATTTTTAAATACATTCTACAAAATTCTTAAAATGCTCAAAAAAAGACACTTTTTTTTTTTTTTTTTAATTTTAATTCACCTCCTCAAGGCCGAGAAGGCCACTACAGACGAGGAGGCTACTTATTTGTGGTTATAACCCTCTCTCAACTCTATAACTCCGAAACACGAACCTTGACGAGCGAGGCCGCTGCGCGGAGAGACGAGTTGAGCGCGGTACTACCAGGGACGTGGTGGGGATCGAACTCGGAACCACTCGTTTATGAAGCGAGCGCTCTACCACTACACCACTACCGCATTTTATATACTTAATATGTCTAAATATATTCTACAAAGTGTGCAAAACATCCAGCGTGCGAAATATTATTAAAAGAAGAGAGCAGTAATAAATGAGTAGAAAAAATCACTTCACAAATTTTTTTATTTCACACTGTGTTTCATCTATAAAGACTTATAAAAAATGAATGATCAAATTGCTGAAACTTCAATTTGTACCAAATATTAAAGTACAGGAAGTCATAAATGTCTTTTACAACTGTAAATTTTAACACATTTTATTTATGAAATACGTTTACACTATTATATAAAGAATTCTTTAAGATTATTTTCTGCTTCTTTTTTTAAATGTTTTTAAAGATTGATTTATTATAATTTTTTGAGTTCACTTATTTTTATATAATAGCGTTACTGCGCAGATTGTAAAATATTAAACACTTATTGTCATTTTTTAAATATCTCAATTTATTACATTTAATAAATATTTGAAATTGACTTTAACAGAGATTTGTGCAACGGAGGGTATATATGCAGACTGACTGTATATATTAAAATGCGCAGAATATATGTTTAAAAAATAATATATATTTAAAAAATAATATATATTTAATAAATATAAATGTTATTTATATATATATTTTTTATCAGGATCTCTCTGCATTTAGTGTCTTTTTTTAATTTAGGAAAGCAATTATATGACTTATGGATCCTAACTATGCAAAGTGATAAGTTTAAAATCAAGAAATGTAAATGTAAAAAAAAAAATGTTCTTTTTCTTTCAAAATTTACAAATTTCTTTTGAACATTTATTTTCATCTAAAAAAAAATAGTTTATTAGACTTTTAGTTTCTTTGCTCATTGTTGACTTACTTCTTATCTAATTTTATTTCTTAGTTTAATTCCTAGAATTTAGTAAGATAAAAGATAGTTTTCGGTGGGATTGGAGGGGATGCATTTCAAAAAAATGACGATTGACTTACGAACAAAAAAAACATATTTTTTCTTTATTATATAGACATAGCAAAACCCTTTTTAAATAAAGTAACAACTTTCAATGATTTTTTAATAAATACGCACATTTAAAAGATAACAACAACTTTACAATTTGTCGTAATGTAAACAAAGGAAAAATAAAAAATAATTAAATATTTTCTTTTGTCAGAAATCCAATATCAAAAAGCAAATGAGGAAAAGTGAAGGTGAAAACAAAAAATAATGAACAAAACTATTCCTTTAATTGATAATTTGATTTAATTTGTTAATTCTTTTTTTTTAATTTAAAGACCAAAGAAAAAAAAATCATAAAAATTATAAAAATAAAATTATATGTATATATATTTTTTCAACTTGATTCTTGCAAAAAAAATTTGTTATATTTTGAGTATGTTAATAAATTTAATCGATAATTTTTTTATTTAAAGATGAAAGAAAAATACATTAATACTTTAAAGTAAAAAAATCATTAGCAGTGAATTATAACTTTATTTAAAAGCATTTTAATAATATAAAAACATTAGTAAGGATCAAAGTTAAATTTAAATAGCTGTCTTTAATTCAAAAGTTTGTCTTTTTTTCCTCTCAACAAATTTAAACAACTTTCATTTTTAAAGTATAGATGAAACTTTTATCTATACTTTAAATTAAAACGTTAACAGTAAATGTTACTTTACTTAAAAGCATTTCGCTAACATAAAAATGTTGGTAAAGATAAAAGTCTCCAAGTTATTTATTTTTGACATAATTAAAAATAATTTTTTTCAGCGCATTTTTAAAATGTTAAAACCATGGTCATGCCTTCCTTACCAAGCCTGATATATATACATTCGTAACTGCTAGTAATGAAACTTAGAAATAAATTAAATAAAAAAAAAATCAACAATGACCAAGCCAACTAAGCATTAAGCAAATTTTAACAAATAAGCTACCATTAAAATTAAGCAAACTTTAGCAAATAAGCTAGCATTAAAATTGATAATTTACATTATATTTGAAAATTAAATCCTAAATTAGCTTTTAGTAAAAAAGAAATAAGTACAAATTCGAAGTTAGGGCCAATATAAGTAATAAGTACAAATTTGAAGCATCGGCCAAATATAGGCATCGCGTTCCTCATAAAAACATTATTCAAACTTAATAAATACATTAATTACCCTGAATAAATATTTTAAAAAATATATATATAACATAAAATATAATTTTGCAATCTGCACTGCAGTGCTATCCAGATCATTAAAAGTGCAAAAAAATGCACATTTCACAAAATGTGCAATTTTACAATCTGTACATTATATATATATATATATATATATATATATATATATATATATATATATATATATATATATATATATATATAAATATATATATATATATATATATATATATATACATATATATATATATATATATATATATATATATATATATATATATATATATATATATATATATATATATATATATATATATATATATATATGTAGTACTGCGCTAAACACTTGCAGTACCACAGTAAACTTGTTTTCTGTGCAGCAGCCTAGTTCATAATCTAGATTCATATTAAAAAATTAGCCTATTTATTCTAGTGTACCATTCTGCATTGGAGAGGTATATAACATAAAAAATAAATAAATGATATATAAATAAGTAAAAAAAATACTCATTTAACTTTTCTTCTACTGCCAGTTTCTCCTTCAACATAATCATCGGGAAGCTTCCTGATAATCCTTTTGAAAGGGAAACTGGCAGTAAAGGAAAAATTTAGATAAATGTTTTTTTTACTCATTTATTACTGCTTTGTTCCTTGAGTAATTATTTTTGAAAACTCAATAACCCCCTTTTATACATTTTGTTTCAAATGTTGTAAAAAAAAAAAATCAATAAGTGTGTATGAGTATAAACATGCACCTTAATAAATTGATATATATATATATATATATATATATATATATATATATATATATATATATATATATATATATATATATATATATATATATATATAATTTTTTTTTTACTTTATTTGTTAATATTACTGATGTGTTAAATGTTTTTTTTTTTAATTTTATAAATTTATATAAATTTAAAAAATTCTTATAATAATTATAAGAATTTTTTAAATTTATACTTTTATATTTATAAAAATTTATAAAATTAAAAAAAAAAACATTAAACTAAATAGTAATTTTAAGAAATTTTTCTTGGCTTTTTCAATGGATTTGTTTTTTCCGAAAACAAGAAGTCGTAAATTGTATTTTTACTTAACCGCAACTTGAAATTTGATTTTGATCAGTTTTTGAATCCGCCTGAAAGAAAAATTGACATATTAAAACAAAAACACTTTTTTTAAACTATGAATTTAAAAAAGTATTTTTATAATAATTGTTATTAAGGAAACTCGTAGAGCGTTGCAGCGCACCATAATAGGAATACAAAGCAACAATAATTAATAAAACGGTTTTTTTTCTCCATAGAACTAAACGGTTTGTATTTTCATAGAGCTCAACTAGATACATACTCCAATTAGATTTGTACTCTAACTAGGCTCGGACAGCTGAACTTAAAAAATTCGAGACTTGGTTTTGATCAGATTTTTAAAAGCATCTTGTTTGCAATTTTAGAAGTAATAGTTATTTTTAAAGTTAGAGAGTAATCATTGACATATCTTTTTTTATCATCGAATCATTTTTATCATCTTAATTATTTTTATTCAAGTAATCTAAGAAGACCGAAGTTCACAGAGCACTGCAGAAATGCATATAGCAAGAAGTTTAACGTCTTGTTCATTACCTATGTAGCATTTCTGGCCAGAGCCATTTAATTGTAATAATTGTAAAGTTTACGTGGAATCTTTTTATATTTTTGAAAATAACATACTCTCAGATAAACACAGCGCCTTAATAAACGAAAGCAACACAATGCCAGAAATAACAAATAAACTAATAAGTCACACACTTGATTTAAATGACAATTTTATTGATTGCATAGATATTCTAAACGAATTGCGAACGTTAAAGAGTTGCGAACGTTAAAGAACGTTCTATGATTGTTCATAAAACGTTCTCGAACGCTCGCAATGTTCTTCGAACGTTCTTTGAACGTTTTATGGGATTACTTAATCTACAAATCATCTTACAACACGATTAACCTGCCTCCACAGTGGCGTGCAGCAAATATGACACAAATTTTCAAAAAAGGATAAAAGTTAAATGCATCGAAATACAGACCTATATCAGTAACGTCAATAGCATGCAAAGTATTCAAAGGAGTTATAAGGAATTAAATGCAAAATTTTTTTGACAACTGTAATCTGATCATAAAATGCCAACATGGTTTTGTGAAACAGAAATCATGTACCATAAATCTTTAGAATCTCTCAATTTTATTACACACAATTTATCAAAAAATATACCTGTGGATGTTATAACGCTGGATTATGCAAAGGTATATGATACTGTGCCACCAGGGCCAGGGCTAGAGTATTTGGCACCCTAGGCGAATCTGGTACACTGTGCCCTCCTCCCCAACTTACTTTCACAAAGGAATGCTTAAGATATGTTATTACATTTTGTATTTACATTCGGAAGAATATACACGCATAATCTTAAATTAACGTATATTCGTTTAACTTTATAATATATTAATAAATAATTATAAAACTTCACTTTTCGCGCTTTTGTTTTTGCAAATGTAGAAACGAGTTCCATCAG